CCTCGCTGGGGCCTAGAAGACATCTGAGGACACTTTTGAGTTGGTATCAGAGTAAGTTTACAGACCTATGAATTGGGGTCAATAAAAGACAACCAAGCAGGGGCCTGTTCTCCATACATGGATTGCTTAGTTATCGGTTAGGTTCTTCAATCTCATCCTAGAGTTCCTATCTGTAAACTCAAACCTGCTCTGGATTAGAAATAAAATGAAGGTCTGGTGAGAACCATCACCAATAATAATCTGTTCCTCATCCATCCTGAGAAGTCAAATGTAGCCATTTGCTAAAGCTGCAGGGAAATGTCTTGACTCATCAAACAAACCTGACATAATTGGTTGCAACCTGTAAAATAAATCACTAGTTAGTAGTGGCCATGTCCTAGAAAATCTAGTTATATTTTATCAGGTGTCCTAGACATCTAGATTGCCCATTTCTTCTCAACCTATTTTGTTTATGTGGCCCTTCCCCAATCTGGTCAGATGGCATTATGATGTAAAACAATATATGAAGCTACACAACTGTTTTCAATATTGATGATAATAGGAAATGTTTTGTTGAGCAACAAAGCAGCGTATTGGAAAGATTTCTGAAGGATGATGTGACTCTTAAGGCTGGTTGAGATGCTGAAAATTCAGCTATGCCATTAAAGGAATATATTTCATTTGAAAATATATTGAAATAGAAAACAGTTATTTTAAACGATAGTGTTTCACAATGGTAATGTTTTTGCTGATTAAGTAAATTTAGCCTTGGTGAGCTAAATTTATTTCTAAAAGGGGGTTTCACAGTGATGTCTAGACACATTTTGGGGTCCCTAAAGAACATTTTAGTTCTACATTTTTTTCTGAGTGAAAAGAATATTTTAATAATATAATTTACCCTTTTTCAACTATACAGAACATTTTGACATTGAAGGTTCTTCACAGGACCATAGATGCCAATAAATTACTTTATTTTTAAGAGTGTATGAATTTTCTCCATCACCATGGCTGGGTGATTATAAAAAGAAACGAAAATTTCATGGCAAATCGATTTAAATTTAAAGTCAGCTTGACATCAACATCGACCCTATTGTTACTAGTAAACATTTATTTTGACTGTGTAATCTTTTCTGAGTGTGTGTGTGGCCTGAATGATAAATGAAAGGTATATTTAAGCAATAAAAAGAAAGAATTTGCTAACATTGACTCAGAAAAGAAGATAGTGCTGTGGATCCATGTCTTAAAGATTATACAATATTTTCAGTTATCTTTGATCAGATTACTGTGACTTCCTCAGACGCAATCAGCTCAATCTGCATGCGTCTGTAAAGGTGTCAACCAAATGATCCATCCAATTAGAATAACAGTGACTGTGTGTGTTTCACAGCTATTTTGAACGTCTTTTCCCCCTATTGTGATGTATCTGAGATAAATGGCTTCACGAACAAGTCACAATTCAGGGTGGGACTTTTTGTCCATAGAGAATTGAATAAATTGTTGTCGTTGTTATAGCTGTGATCTCATGTGAGTGACTTGTACATGCATTTTAAATGTGTCTGCTGTCTCCCCTATTAATTCATCTCACTCTACATCACTTTCACAGGAGCACTTAGTGCACCACACAAATATGATTTATAAATTAAAGCCATGAAGAGAATGGAAAAGATAAGAATGATAATGCTGATTTTGAACATAATCCGTGTGGTTTGTGATAGTCAATTGTTATGTTGCACTTAAACACACAAAACACACTGGTGTTGCCAGTCTTTGGTTCACATTCAACCACATGAGCATCTACACTACAAAAGCAATCTGGTTAAATGAGTTTTCGTCTACCACTGAAAGTGGTCAAAAGTGGAGAAGCTCAGAACTTTTAAGACCCATTTACACCTGTATTTAGCATTGTCCACCAGCAACAAAAAAAGTCTCTTAATACCAGGTGTAAATAGGGCCCAAGATTTCTGAGAATGCAAGAAGTCTTCTGAAATGCATGAGGGATAACTATAAAGATAGCTAACGATAATGATATTTGAGCTCACACCAGTGTAAGTGTCTTGACCTATCAAACAAAACAAACACAATACTGGCTGCAACTAAGCAAAGAAACTATACTAGTGAATTACTTGGGACACTAGACCTACCATATAGTACTGGGTAAATAGTCTAATGTAAATAACACAAACTCATTCAAAAGATCGACACACCCATTACAGATAGGAAATAAACAGGTGAGGCTCAGTGGTTAGAACACTGGTCACAAATTCAATCCTCGTTACGGCCAGAGCAATCAAGAACCCTTTGAGCCCGTATCAAAATGAGTTTTCAGACATAAAATAGCTGTCAATCTAATTAATAGAACAAAATCAATCAAACAGATCTGATAAACGTTCAACACTGGGAAAGACTCCAAGGTGAAGAACTTCAGACCAAATGTGAGTGCAAACAAACTTAATTACTGCAAGCTGCAGACAAACCGTGATATGACCAACTTTCTTATCTGAAATTTCAATAACTTTATACAACGTAAGCTCAAAGGGAATTATTAATTGTATTGATATCATTGTTTTTGGAATAATCTGATATGTTAAGTCAGTCTCTGTGCTTTTCAGAGTGGTTTCAGGCCTGTGTTCCAGGATAAGGTTAAAAGATGGTCACAAAAGGGAGTCTGTTTAAGCTCTCTGTTTTGAGCGGGAATCACCCTCCTTTATCTTAACTCTAGATTTATGCTTGTGATAGTTGGGATGCACCAAATTCAGACCCATTTATCTTGGGTCACCTAAAGGTTACAATGTTAGAGTGGGCTTTTTCTCAGTTGATGCAAGTATCCTTGAAGGAATCCAGAGTTAGGTCAAACATGTTGGTGCCACAATGACAGATCTCTTATTTTATGGGTCTTAAATTTGGGCCTCTTGTAACCTTCGGGTCATTGTGCTGTTTTGGTACAGTTCAGATCACGTCATCACTGCCATGTCATTGTAAATATATTTGTGATTGGACAAAAATAGTTTGTGACAAGTGAGTCATCTGTTTGTCATTCCTCGTAAACTTTAAACAATCAAAGCTACAGGGTAAATGTTGGACACACCCTTTGAAGAGCTAAGCAAGGTGTTATTGTGTACTTTTCAAAAGGTAATGAGGACAACACCTAAACAGGTCTGGCTCCATAGCTCAGTGGTTAGAGCACTGGTCTTGTAAACCAGGGGTCGCGAGTTCGATCCTCGCTGGGGCCTGTGAATCAATTTTGCACAAGTATCAAAAATAATTTCCATACATACATAAATTCCAAGGGAACCATGTATTCAGAACTAACAAGAGGGACACAAGTCACCAGTATGTGTCTGCCTTGTGTGCTCTGAAGAACTTCAGACTATGTGCTGAGCTACAAAAACTTGAAGCAATCTATTATGCCTTCCTGAGTAAATCGGAGACCACCATACGTAAAACCAAGTAACGATTTAATTGATCAAAAATATTTAAATATAAAACATTGATACATCAAACCCCCAAATGTCTTGGCTTTGAACGTACAAAAAAAATCTTGCACAAATAATAATTTTATAGTCTGTAGAAGAAACCTGAAGGCTGCCATGGTATAAAAACACAATCACCATCACAATAACAGAAAGCAGATAGAAAAAGAAGAGGAACTAGATAAGAAATCTTTTGTCAACCAGAGTTTTGTTGGCTAGGTTCCTGCGCCCCATTCCATTTCGGATTAATCTGAAGACCTAACGGAGAGCATATTAAAGCTTCATTTTAATCATCACCTCAAAACAATCAAATTAAACCAACCAGCCTTTTAATATATCCACATATACTAACCAGTTGCTGGACGTATGTTAACACAGCTGCGAGAATGAAGTTCTGACTGCCCAGATCCACCACACAGAAGAAGAGAGTGTCAAAAATCAACAGCACAGCCTCATTACCATAAAAGAGGACATCAGCGAATGAGTGAGAGTCATCTGAAGGAAGATAAACACAAAGATATTCACTCAGAACACTAATGACTGTGAAGGGACTGGATTCTGGAAATCAATGAGTGATTACAATCAAGGTATTAATCAATATTTTTCCTTTTACATATTCAATTATTAAACTGACTTTTTTAAGTGAAGGGTTGGGGTCTTTTTTAAGTGAAGGGTTGGGGTCAGAATCCCTTGCATCTTCAATTCAAGTAAATGCATATCCTTTTTATTACATTATTCTTATAATAAGCACCAATCAAGTTATAATCATTCCTATATTCAATAAGTGTGTTACATATAGTTTTTAGGTATACTCCTGTGTATGCATATCTTTCATGAATGTCTTATGATGTCTTTGACTAATCTGTTGCGGCCTTGAGCTAGACATTAAATACAGGCTCTTTGTATGTATGGATTTAATAAACTAATTAATGTGTTAAGCCTAAAGAAGACCCACATCATATGATCATGTTTTTCTGCTGACCCCATTAAGGGACAGAGGTCAACTTCTGTATGGCTCTATGATTTGTTTCCCAAATTTGTACTTCTTTAATACATATATCTCTCAAGAAATAAAGTAATTGTTATTTCTTCTCTTTCTAAGGATGGAAGGTTTTATCAGTATGTTGTGTGGCATCTGATATGATAATAAAGAACTCAGGCCTGTACAATCTTGCTAGGTCTGCATCCCATTGTGCTTTGTATGTTGAATTTTCTGTGCAGATCTCGTGACATGGGCAGCAGGTCTCATGACACTCTTTAATGGCACCCCCGAGGTCATTACTGGATCTTTCGTGACTTGGATGGCAGCTATCATGATTGATGTCAACATACCCTTCTATCTATGCATAATTGTTTAGATTTTATGTGGGGTTCTCAAACTCGGTCCTGGAGGGCCACTGTCCTGCAGAGTTTAGCTCCAACCCTGATCAAACACACCTACCTGTGTGCTTCTAGTGACCCTGAAGACCTTAATTAGCTTGCTCAGGTTTGTTTGATCAGGGTTGGAGCTAAATTCTGCAGGACAGTGGCCCTCCAGGACCGAGTTTGAGAACCCCTAGCCAATCAGAAGTGAATGTTTATGTAATGTATGCCCTTGAAAACAGTATAACTGGTGTACCATTTGTGTGTAAAGTAGAGTTAGCTTGAGACCTCCTCGTGAGACTTTGACGCTGGCTCTACCAATTGAACTGCAAACTATTCTTCAGTAAATTTTTCTCTTTGATTGAACTTCATGACTCCTGGTCTCATTTCATCATCTCTGATCCTGGGCCTTACATAAGCTTTATGTACTAGATTTATGTACTTATAGAATTATGTCTGTTTCATGGAACGTGCTCTCTCCATGTTTTTGACAGAGACATGTGTTAAAACATACTA